TGTCCCCACAGTGTCTCTGTCAGTGTCCCCGTCCCTGTCCCCACGGTGTCTGTGTCCCTGTCCCCATCCCTGTCCCCGCGGTGTCTCTGTCAGTGTCCCCGTCCCTGTCACCACGGTGTCCCCGTCCCTGTCACTGTCCCCATGGTGTCCCTGTCACTGTCCCCAAGGTGTCCCTGTCACTGTCCCCATCCCTGTCCCCGCGGTGTCCCTGTCCCTGTCCCCATGGTGTCCCCGTCCCTGTCCCCGCAGTGTCTCTGTCAGTGTCCCCGTCCCTGTCCCCACGGTGTCCCCATCCCTGTCCCCACAGTGTCCCCGCAGTGTCCCCATCCCTGTCCCCGCGGTGTCCCCGCGGTGTCCCTGTCCCTGTCCCCACGGTGTCCCCATCCCTGTCCCCACGGTGTCCCCATCCCTGTGCCCGCAGTGTCTCTGTCAGTGTCCCCGTCCCTGTCCCCACGGTGTCTGTGTCCCTGTCCCCGCGGTGTCCCCGCGGTGTCACCTTGATGGCGGTGATGGCGAAGGCGATCTTGCGCCGCCCGTCGATGTTGGTGTTCAGCACCCGCAGGATGTGCTGGAACTTCTCGGGGATCACCAGAGACTGCGGGGACACCGAGGGGACACCGAGGGGACATTGGGGACACCGAGGGGACATCGAGGGGACACCGAGGGGACATCGGGGACAGCAGGGACAGAGGGGATCACCAGAGACTGCGGGGACACCGAGGGGACACCGAGGGGACATTGGGGACACCGAGGGGACACCGAGGAGACATTGGGGACAGTGAGGGGACATCGAGGGGACATTGGGGACAGTGAGGGGACACCGAGGGGACATTGGGGACACTGGGGACAGTGAGGGGACATCAGGGACAGTGAGGGAACATTGGGGACACTGGGGACAGTGAGGGGACACTGGGGACACTGGGGATAGTGAGGGGACATTGGGGACAGTGAGGGGACATTGGGGACAGTGAGGGGACACTGGGGACAGTGAGGGGACATCGGGGACAGTGAGGGGACACTGGGGACAGTGAGGGGACATCGGGGACAGTGAGGGGACATCGGGGAC